TGTCTAAGAAACCATCCATAGACACGGCAGCTATTTGAATAATATTAATTCACAAATCTTCATCTGATTTACACTCGTGTGTGTGACTGTTCATTGACTGACTACGCTCATGTCAGAACAGAATATTCTAGAGCAAATAAACTGGAATTCAAATGCATTTTCCAACCTGCAGGGTTCACATCAGAGCACAAAGAGGAGACAACAGGACTAGGCAGTCTTAGGAATCCATCCACTGTCTGTATAGGAACACCATACTGCCAAATAAAATGACATGGTTAAGTAAATAGTTGTATTTCAGTTCTTTGACTGTTGCAGGATGAACAACAAATCCGTATAACAAAACTCCTTATTTCCAAAGCATCTGTCAACATCATGTAACACTGTGCATCAATTCTTAAGCCATCAACAGCTTTTTGTTTACAATAGCAAACCAGCTATTTATTTTTCACAGATCTTAAAAATCTAGCTTACTTGTGAAGTAAGCCAACACAAATGCTACATTTATTTTTAATTTTCTGTATTTAAAGACCAAAATACAGTTTTTCTTTTTCAGAAGAACTGCAACTTTTTACAAGCAAATGCAAACAATGCTCGCTTGGTCTTTTATGAAGCAGTTTAATACTAATTGAACCAGATAGTTACGTACCTCATATCTGTAAGTTTCATTTGCATCAGAAGGATTTGGAGCATCTGAGTCCAGAGTCCAGCTCTCAGGTTCAGCACTGAAAGCAGTACTTCCAAACTTTTTAAACAGTTCATCAAAATTTTCAGGAGTAGGCATTTCAGGGGAAGGAAAGTACAGTGCTTGTTTATCTGCCAAAACATGTTAAAGATTGAGATGACTTTTAGGGTAAACAATACAGAACAGTATTTAGTAACAATTTTTCTCTCGGGAGTTGGTACAAATCCAGTGACAGAAAAATAAAAACACAGCTTTTCTTTAAGAGAAAAGCTAGGAAGTGTCTTAATTCATCACTTCATCCTGATCCATGACAGCACAAACTTAAACTAAAGGAAAGAGTAAGTTCCTTTCTTTCAAAATCACAGTTTTTAAGGGATTTATTGGGGTTGGTAAATTCCTCAGCAAAACAAAACAGTAATTTTTAATTTTATTTTTTAAGGAAAATGTCACTTCTCAACCTCTGAATTGTCAAAAGAAAAACTAGATGAAAAATTTTAACTAAGCTTCATTAGAGGCAGAAAACTTCCAACAGAAAACACAAAGAATCAGAGCATGAGACAGTTTCACAAATAAAAGTACTACAACATAAGGACTGCAAGCACAGAATAATCAATTTTCTGACAGGTTTAGTTACTTTTAATTTTTGTCTATTTCTGGTACCTAAGGAACTTATAGAAGTACATGCTTAAGGCTTAACATTGGCAACAACACTACTTACAGTTTGTAGCATGAATGCAGAAAACACTGGGATTGACGTGGTCAATTAATTGAAATACCCTTTCCGGTGGATTTGCTTTAACATCAAGTGAATACACAGCAGCTTTCTGACTACAAAGGCGGCTATCACCTCTGCAAACTAGCAATAAAAAAATCCGTGATACATTTGGAGTTGGTATTGACCGTATTTTAAAGCTATCTTTGTGTATTGAGGAAGCATCAAAAAAGCATTAATTTTTTAACACCATTTTTATAGCAGTTGTGTCTCCTTAGAAGGCTTATTTTATATGGAGTCGTTAGTGATTATTAAATAATAAAGAATTATGCGACATGTTTTATCTAGCAGAGGAAACTGAGCAGCAACAAGAAATAAGGTAAGAGACATACTGAGGGAAGAGAATAGCCTGACAGCAATAATATTAGAGCTACGATGACAGGTTGGATGGGATCCAGATACCACAAATGAAGGGTGCACCATGGGCTAGGCAGCTCAGAAGCACTTTTATTTACACAGTGCAAGCAGAAAGGATGATCTTTAAGGTAGAATGATGGCATGTAGGCCAGAAAAAGGTAAGTTTCATGACTATTAGAATAATGTGCACCTTTGGGGTGAGGTCCTACTTGACATGCACATACGAGAAGCAGCAGTGTGAGAACCAGGAAGGTGAAGGAACCAGTTCAGTCCAGGAAAAGTATTTGTGGATGTGCAGTGGGTTCAACAACATCCCAGAACTGCAACAGGCTGTACAATGAATGTGCCAGTTCATGCCCTGAAGTGTACTATGTGTTAAAAAAAACACGGCATTTCATGGGAAACGGGTACTTAGGCAGAGTCAGAGCAGTTATGGGCAGACACTGAGAAATAAATGACTTTTAGAAATGAGCTTTTAAGCACAGAGTTAAGTTTTTCTATGAGGCAAACCCTGAATCACATCCTACAACAAATGACCGTTTTCCTCAGTGTTTCAGATACCAGATAACCTCTGACTTGTGATCGGCCAAAATCCTTTCAGGGACTACCACAATTATGCAAATAAATCTAGATGTAAATACGGAGATCGCAATACTTGCAGTCACTGGAAATTTTCACGCAAAATGAACATTTTACAGAAAAGACTTTTTGGGGAAAACCACAACTTCATTTCATGCCTTTCTAGCTGACAAAGACAGAACAGTCACCTAAGACAATTAAACTGTCATTCAGAGAGGCGTTGATTAGACCTTTCTGATATATATAAATGTCTATAAATGGGTAGAAGTAGTCATTGTGTGCGAGAACAATAAGAAATGGCAGTCTGCGATGACTGCTAATTCAAATTTCAAAGCACCGAGAATAAACCCCAGCACTCAGATTGGCATAATTTATGCCGAAGGTGGGTTGAAGAGCTGCACTTATTGTTCTGAGAAGTCGCCAAGAGATTTCACGTTCAGATTTTAAAGTGAGCTTTCTTCGTTCCTTTTTGAGAAGATGGAGTTGGGTTAAGGTGTTTTCAAATAAATTGTAAATAGCAAGGAACGCATCGTGAGCATTACTTTATTGATATAATGTCACTACATTTTACTGGTTTTAAAGATCAGCAGTGAGGCAGCAAGCTGGGACACTGGTCGCATGGCATCAGCTTTCCCAATTTCCAGACATTATACCTACAAAACTCTGATGATGCATCATTCATTCCCTAACAGAAGGCTTTAACAGCTAAGCAACCCCTCCCCCCAACAATAGGACAGTGCAAGAAAAAAGCAAGAAGTGTGAATTTAGAAAGAAGGGAATGAGAAACTGGGCTGGGAGGCCAATTTGCTGCTCTGCCTGGCTGGGAACCAAAAGTTTATGGGCTTAGTGCTGCAGGGACTGGTGAAGGGTAGGTATGGGTTAGGATGGTGGGGCAGTAGAGGGGCTGGGAATGTATAAGAGGAGAAGACAAAGCCTGTACAAATGCATGCAGCAAATAAAACAGGATTTTGGATTTCAGATAGCTGCTTATTCACTTACGTGACTATAGGAACTGAACACGTAGTAAAGAGACTGAAATCTGCTGCGCTGCAGTCAGGGTCACAACAGCAATTCACATCACACTGTGCCACCAACAGATCACAAGTACACAGCTTGGCAACTGGAGGAAAGACTTAAATTAGAATTAGGACTGGAACTTTGCACACTACAGCACGTTCCCTAACACTTCCATTTGTCATCTTGCTTTATTTGGGACAACAGTCAAAAGTCTACATCTAAATTCATCTGATTTTCTTAAGTCATTTTTAAAAATCCTTTTCTGCCACTTAGCAAATCTATTAAGAGTAAAGTAAAATAAAAATAATAATAATAAAGAGCATACCAAAATCCGATGCTCTGAATTTTGTATTTGTATTTTACTTTTACTGAACTTTTTCGAGACTTGCTGATCCATAATAAATCTAGATTTAAGAACAGCAGAGAACATAGAAAACTGAGACCAGCACTCCACAGACTTTAAAAGAACGCTCATTTTCAAAATTACAGCTTCTATTTTAGCTTGACTATTGCCCATTTCTCTACAGCCTCCTGGATGCTCTCTGACCGTCTGAACAGTATCCAGGCAGTTCCTGGAATCTCTGAGGCTCTGACTGTTCTGTCAGCTGAGTTTAGCACTGGAATCTTTGTATCACCTTGTAAACAAGAGAAGTTTAAACATGGATTAGACTGTGAGGCTGTATCTCTGAGATCGGGGATATAAGTCTCATTTCCCTAAGGAGGCATGCACTGGGACATGTTTAATTTGGCAAGTAATCTAGGGAAATTGAGCTGATGACACCACCACCGGGAAATCAGAAGTTAAATAAAAGTACACCTGCCAATCAGAAAACAGTGCGCAACACTTTCTGATGGCACAATTACAAAAAAAAAAAAAAAAAAAGTGATTTATATTGTCACAGCACTATATGTTCACAGAGCCTGGGCTGAATTTGGAGTCTTAGTGCAAACTGCTTGGTGCACCCAGCTTGGTGTGTGCACAGAGCTCTCCAGACACACGCAGGGTGAGCTTGGGGCTCCTCTGCGAGGTCAGGCTCTGCCCTGGAGGCTCTGAGCAGGGTGCTGGGCGGGCAGGCAAACCCACTGAGCCCTCAGTGCCAGCTTGTAGGACTGTGAGTGCTGTGATGACCCGAAAAGTGTGCCGGGGGTTGGCGATGCTGCCTTCCTGAGGGGGTTCTGAGGCAGGAACGGGATGCTGCTGACAGGGATGCTGAACAAACATCGGGAAGCTGCCGGGCAGGCTTCTCCCAGCCCCCTGAGGCTGCAGCTGGGGGCCGGAGAGGAGCCGAGGGCCCAGGCCACGAGTGGGGCTTCCCTCAGGCCCAGGCCGGTGCTGAGCGGCCCCCGCCCCGCCGCGCACCCACCGTCCGTGACCGGGGCCGGCCTGCTGCGGAGCCGCTCCCCGGCGGCAGCGCGGTCCTCCGGTGGTGCCGGGGGCTCGGGGCTGGGCTCCTCTGCCCGGAGCGGCGGAGGCAGAAGGAGGAAGAAGAGGAGGAGGAGGAGGAAGGCCCCGGGCCTCAGCGCCGCCATCATGGCGGCCGCCGCTAGGCCGCCCCTAGCAACGGCGCGGTTGCCAGGGAGCGCGGGGCATCATGGGAGCGGCGCGGCATGGCGGAGCCAGCGCCCCGGCAGCCCCGGGGCATGGCGGGAGGGGGCGCCATGGCGGGCGGCGACGGGGGCAGGCCCTGAGGGGAGCCCGCTAGAACCAAGCCGAGGGTGGTGGCTGTGAAGTAAAGGAACTAAACATAAACTAAGTATATAATTTGTGCAGAAATGCCACCGGAAGGCTGTATGTGAAAAACAAAGAAAAGTAGGGAATGGTCCCTCGTGAACTATAAAATCCTGTGGTTAGTATATTTTTGCAACTTTCTTTCTAATAATCTGCTTTCTTTTAACTTCTGAAGTGTTTATTTTTGAAAATGCCATGGGTCCTTTCAATTCGTAATGCTCAGTGTGCACATTCATTAATTAGTCCTGTTAGTAACCTTGTAACATACACAGGCATTTTTATACTGATTTAATGGTAGGACAGGCTGAATCAGAGTGATTAAATGACCAAAGTTCCTTCCAGTTACCTTACAGGTGTTAACATCCAGGCTTTGTTTCCAACTGGGAGAACTTTTTAAAACTTTCTGAAGTTTGTTATCCACGTTATCTGATCAAAACCATCTACAACACTTGTTCTTGCAGCAGGCTGACCTGCTATACATCATTAGTGTTTCCTATTTTTCTGGCCACGTTTATTCCTTTTTCCTCATGTTTATGAAGGTGAGAATCCAGTGTGCTCCATTGTACCTGAGACCTCAGCTGTGTCTTCTATGAAGTAACAGCCTCACCTGGGTCTCCATTCTGCATTCCTTCTCTTAAACAAGGATATTCCAACATTACTATGCTTGCCTCATTCCTTGGGAAGATCTGATGTGTTTAGTCTCTTTGTTCCTTTGCTGATTTTGAGATTAGTTTTATTAAACTAAGCATTCAAGCATTTCCTTTCAATAAGGTCTCCTAAATCATGTTACTAGTATGTTTGTTGTTTTGTTTGCTTGTTTTTCATTGTCCTGCTGCAGAGAAGCATGTTGACTTTGCCAGTTTACTCACTTGATTTGTGTGTTCGTAACTACATTCAGGACAGATGCTGGTGAGCTGTTCTGAAAACTCCGGTGTCTTGGGCCCTGCTTAACAAAGCAAACAGGCACAGGTTGTGGGAAGTCTGCTGAGGGTCTGTTTGCAGCTAGCAGAGTTAATGGTCTCGCAGCTTCAAGAAACAGGAGACTTCAGGCAGGGAACAGTCCCCTAGGTAAAGGAGGGTTGTTTTCCTGCCTATTAAAAAGCAGGTGAAGCTCTTTTCTTTTGTCACTCCTCAGGGAGTGAAGTTTCCGCATCCTGTTGCTTGAGGGAAAGTAAAATAGATTTTGAAGTTTTACTTCAAAGGAACAGCTTGGCCATGTGGCTGCTCTCTCCTTCGCTGCCATGGGGCAGAGATCAGACATCTCTTGGACGAGTCAGACTCAGGGGTTTACAGTCCCTTCAACTGCCTTGACTAATTTGCTCCCACCTGACGTGTGGGCCGGTAAAAAGTATAAAGATGTTTCTCCTTCCTGTAAGTCCTGCAAATTTTGAAAGTTGGAATTTAGTTTGCGGTCTTAGAGGGAAAGTGGTGGTTTATTGTTTATCATCAGTGGTCATATTCTGCCTTCTGTATCACATGTTCATCTGCAGTGTCATCAGCTGAGATAATTACTAATGAATCATCTCCACTTGCTAGTTTACGGATTTCTTAAGGATTTAAATGATTAAGAAGGACCATGGATAACGCACATGGGAAAATATAATTTCATACGTTCTTTTTGCATCCAGATTTACTTTGCAAAGCTGATGATGTACCACGGGCCAGACTCCTGGGTGAAACCCAAGCCTTGCCAAAATCTGTGGGCTCATACCAAGCACAGATTGGACCTCGACTGCATGTGGGGATCTGGATGAGTAAGAGGTAGGAGCTGGATGAGTAAGGAGGTATCATTTCTTACTGCTTCTACCACTGAAACAGAATAGAACTGGGAAACTGTTCATTAGGAAAGTATAATGTAATTAATGATGTTTTTCTTCAAAAGTAAGTTAAGTCTGCTCAGACCAGCAGTTTCCCTAACCCCATCCCCAATACAGCCTGCACAAGAAGAACAGGGTGAATGCAGCTGTTGTGTCACTTCATTTTCCCCTTTATTTATGCTTAAATGACTAACCCTGAACTCCCTGCCTCTGGGATGTGATAGTTCAATTAAGTCATGAAGACCTTCCAGAAATATGTACATGCAAACAGAATGTGGTAATCTCCTGCAGAAAGAAGCATACAGAAAACAGAAAAAGATACGTGCTTGACATAGAAAATGCAAAGCAAAAGCCAAGTGTAAGAGAAACCATTTGAAAAATCCTACCACCACAAAAAAAATTGGCCTTGTGTTAGACTTCTGAAGCAGGTTCCAAAAAGCAAACCCCAAAATGTGTAGGACAAGATCAGAACAATAATAAATAATGTATGTTCTCTATCACAGAGATTTTAATTTATCCTATCAACATGCATTAATTAATAATTAAAAAGGACACTGTGATACCCATGTGGGAAGTCCTGTGAAATGAAAATGCAAGCAGTTTAAAATGTGGTAGATTGCTGTCTATTAAAAAACATGTGAAGGGATTTACTGTATTGCTATATTAATTTTACTTTAAGCTGCAAGACTTTGATGTGCATTTAAACATTACAGTGCAGCATTTGCAATCCAAACGTTGCGGAATTAAATCCCATCAAGCATGGTAAAATCAGGGGGAATAACTGATCATACACAAACAGAATTAACACACTTATCTCTTACGAAATGCTGAGATGAAGCAAAAAGCATTACCTAAATTTCGGTTTATCTCATCAAGCATATTTTAGTGATTCAGTAAAATTAATTTTTAACTATGTAACTTTAACCATAGCCCCTTCCTTTTAAAATTATTTTAGATTTAAATAGTTTAATTACTTTTACCCATAGAAAAATTATTCTATCCTCGAAAGAAAAGACGCTAGACACTAGAGCTTTCAGAGTAGTGTACTAATATCTGCCCTGAAAGTACTTAAAAATATGCAAATCTAAATGAGTTATCTGGCAAAGTCAACGTGTTTCTCTGCAGCGAGACAATGACAGAAGTTCTGCTCATGCACACACATCCTTGTGATTAAACAGTTCAATTTTATTTTTGGACATTTAAACTAACGCAGAATAGGATTAGCTTAATAACCATGGTCTTCACAAATTACAAAGGATGAAGCGTTCAAGCTGTCTGTTGGCTGAACCTGGGCTGTTCTTTCTGAACACACCATGTACAGATTTTTTAATCTTTAATTTTTTACAGTTTTAACAGATTCGGTTAGGTTTTGGCGTAAGGAAGTTTTAGTGATAAAATCTGTTCAACGGACCTACGTATTGTGAAAGAGCTTCTGTAGGAAGTGGTATCATTCCTGGTACTTTAAACTTAAAATTATAAGAAAATCTTTTGAGAAAACACCTTTGTATGTGCATTACTTTAAATATGTGTTTAAATACACCTACTCTAAATAGGTGTTTTCAATTTGATGCTATTTAAAGCAATTTTACCACTGAGAAAAATAACAGTCGCCATTAAACTACAATAGTCTGTATTTTATGGCAAAGCTACTTAACTTGGGTGAGGTTCTAAAGGAATTGATAAAATAAATCAGCTCTCCCAAGGTATCACAGATAGCTGGCATTTGGGAGGCCCTGGTTGCCCACCCAGAGACCGCGGTCTTCTGTCTCTGCATCTTCCATGAGGAGAAGTTTGGTGACGTTGTCCTTTTCACAGCAGTTCTCTGTTTGATATTAACTATGCTTTCTTAACTTCTTCGCAAGGCAAACATTGCTAACGTTGCTTTTGCTCTATGACAGATTGCTTTAAAAATTCAAGTGGACAGGCATTTTTAATTAAAGTCAAAACAAAGTCAAATAAGCCTGAAATAAACTGCATTTTAGTTTAGCGCAGCATTAGCTCTTAAATAAATAGTGAGAAGCCTTGGAGCTCTGGGCTGTCTCTGTACAGCAGATGGCATTACAGGTAATATTTATCATACTCCAATCCCGAGGCTAAGATAGTAGGGAGGGAGTATTGACGTCAGCTACAAGTGAATCAGTCTTAATACAAGCTGAAAAACTGCTTGCGCCTTCAACAGTTGATTACATTGTACAGCATTTCTGCTTAGTGCTCCCCATTGCACTTATTAGTCTGTCCGAGCAAGCCTAGCAGGAAGAGTTCATTTTGTTTTGCAGCTTAAACGAACTGATGTAAATTGATCTTGGACTTTGAGGTGGGAAGATTCCACCCAGCTGTTGTAACCAAGGGAATGCCCTTTGCTCCAGTTTTTGTGCCAAATTTGTGCATTTGAGAATTTTAAACAAATACCACTTGGCAGGGTATCGGCCCTCAGGGTACAGGAATAATACTGAGCGAGACAGCAGGGCACATACTGGGAGGGATTTACGCGGATATCTATCGGCACTGATAGTGAACAGTGGGGGACACCAATCCTCTCATATTTAATTTAAAACGGTAGTTCTTTATTTATTTATTTATTTATTTATTTCTTCACAGGAGCTGAGTGATCTTCTGAACGAAAACCAATAGCAGTTTTTCATCCGGGTGAACCGCAGGAGTGAAAGAGTTCAACAGAGGTTAAGAATTATTACATCAGTGATGTTGTCTTCCTCGGCTGTCTGGGCCAACCTGAGTGGGTGACCAGGGACGAGGGATTATGAAGCGCTCATGGCACGCCTAGGAGCCCTTGCTGAAACAGAGTCATGCTCTGCCAGGGGTATTTGACAGCCTTGCTCTCATGCTGAGTTTCTCAATCTGTGAGGCATGGCTGGTTGACACAGCGCCACAGAGAGCGTCCCATCCTGCTCAGAAACACACCGTGATGAGGCGTGGGGAGCTCGTGTTTGGTTGGAAGCAAAGTGGGGGATTATAGATTGAGAAGGGATGCACACTCAGCTGGCATATGACAGAACACCTTGCTCCATCCGGAGCTGTCTCGAGGCACCCAGCACTACAGGCAGTATTGAAATCTGGTGCATTAAAGGAGAAAGGACTAGGCCAGGTTGGACTTAGCCTAGAAGGAACTTGGACAGGAAGGAGGAAGAAAGAACGAGTGAAGGAAAAGAATGACTCTCTTGAGGAAACTGAAAATATGCACTTCCTTTTCCTGATGTAGATGTGGGAGGGGGTGAGGCAGCAAGGTTTGCTGCTGAGAAAAGCCGCCCTATGAGTACTCTTGTCATCTCCCACACCCTGATGGGCCATGGCAGCAGCACACCCTTCCCTCCATCCAGCGTGCTGAGAAAATCAGCTATGCGGCAGTTTCCTAACTCACCAAGGCTGGGCTTGGGTCGGTCTTTGTGGTCCTCGTGCTTTCCTTCCCCTCATTTTGAATTACAAACGGGCAGATTATTTTTTAATAAGTTTGGATACCATTTGAGCTCGAGGCTGAAATGTTTCATGCATTGTTTCAGCCTTTAGCACTTCAAAGGAGAGGAATATTGTCTTTGTCAAGATACACAGCAGCTGAAACGCGTAGCGTGTGTTAATGCTATTATAATGACAGTGCTTCAGCAATGCTCCCAGTGGGCTGGGTCTGTGTTGTACACCACACAGCTTTTCCTTTCACTGGAGTCAGCTTGGGATTCAGGTTTCACACCTGCCTGGGCCGTATGCCCGTGTATTGTTTTGCTCTTTGCATATATCTGGGTATATAATGTAGCGGTGGCCTCATTATGCGTGTGTATGCAAAGACATTGAATAAATTTGTGTGTGTGTTTTTTACAGCTGCCTGCTGGGAGCTTCCGAAGTGGCATTTTGCACGCCCAAAGGCTCAGGGAGGACAGAGCTGCAGCAGGTAAGGACCCAGGGCTGGGTTCCTGAAAGCGTTGATCCCTGAAGCTATGAGACACCAACAGATTGTGCCTTTGTCTCACGTTCAATTATCACAGAGTCACTGAGGTTGGAAGAGACCTCCAAGATCATCTGGTCCAATCGTTCCCCTACCACCAGTGTCACACACTAACATGTCCCTAATCACCTCTCCTTGAACGCCCCCAGGGACAGTGACGCCACCACCTCCCTGCGTAACCTGTGCCAGTGCCTGCCTGCTCTTTCTGAGGAGAAACATCTCCTAATTTCCAACCTAAACCTCCCATTTGTGTGCGTGTGTGCTGACTGTGTGCAGTGCCTTCATCCTCAGCACTCAGTTAGCTGTTATCCAGTGTGGGCAAGGGAGAACACCTCACATTTACACCCATTTCCCCCCAAAATCACAAATATCGTGTGCTGTGGCCCCAAAATCTCTGGCTAAGCAGGAGAAGCAGCCCTTCAGGGACCCATTTTTGCGTGAGGAGGAGCTGCCCTCCCGCGCCCTGAGGCACTGACAGGAATTACGGGGGGGGGCGCTCCCGCCTTTTCCCCCCCCTCCATTTTACCCCCCCCACCGCTGCGCAGGGGGCTGGCTTGAGGGGGGGGGGGGGGGGAGCGCTGCGCATGCGCAGTGCGGCGGGGCGGGGTTGACCTTCCCTCCTCAGGCCGCCCGGCCCCGAGCACGCGCGGGAGGGAAGATGGCGGCGGCGGCGGGCGGCGGGGAGCGGGGGCGGCGCTGCGGGCACCGGCGGCTCTGACCGGGGCGGAGGCGGAGCCCGCGGCCCCGTCGTGTGTTTCCCCCCCCCCCGCGGGGGGTTCGACGGCGAGGAGAGGAAGGCGGGAGGGAGCCGCCCCGGCTCGTCAAGGGGGCGCGCTGAGGGCGGGGGGGGGGCCGGCCCCGGGAAGTGAGGAAGGGGGGGGGGGGGGGGGGGCGGTTGTGAGGGGCCGGGCCCGGCGTGAGGCGAGGAGAAGCCGGCGTGAGGAGAAGCGGAGCCGGGCCGAGCCCAGCCGGCCGCCGGGGGAAAGAAGGAAGGCTGGCTCGCTGCGGCGGCCGCTCGCAGGGCAGGAGGAGGCTCCGCCGCTGGCTCCCCGCCGTGGTGGCCCTGGGCTGCTGGGCGCCCCGCGCCATGTTCTCGGTGCTGTCCTACGGCAGGCTGGTGGCCCGGGCGGTGCTGGGCGGCCTCTCGCAAACCGACTCCCGCGATTACAGCCTGGTGACGGCCAGCTGCGGCTTCGGCAAAGATTTCCGCAAGGGCATCCTGAAGAAAGGCATGTGCTACGGGGATGACGCCTGCTTCGTGGCCAGGCACCGCTCGGCTGATGTGTTGGGTGAGTACCCGGGGGGGGGGGACACACCGGGCCCTGGCTTGGTGGCTGTGGCGCAGCCGGGCCGCGGACAAAGAGACGCAGCCCGGCCTCGCTTGCCCTCTCTGTGTTTTGCGACTCTCACGCTTTATGAGCTGGGTCTCTTCTGCTTGGATCAGGTGCTTTGGGGTCTGCAGGGTTCCTGCCAAAAAGGTGATCCTAAATGGTTGCTTTCTGCTGAATTCTCTAACATAGGAAAGCATGAGGCTTCTGGTCATGCTCCTTGCTTCCCATCCTCTCTTTCTCACACTATATGATGCCCTTTCTCAGCACGCCGTTGGCACAAGGTGGTGCGGAGGCCGGGAGCCTAGGCCCTGCCTTTCACCTGTAGCTGCCTGCCAGGCCTGCTGGCTCCCAAGGCCAGAGAAACTCCTTCCAGTGCCTTTTGCTCTCTTTGTCTCCCTAAAAGCTCAGCAAGCTCCATGTGGCGTGTGCATTTCCATGTAAAAGACCACTGAATCATGAGCTTCCTTATTCCAGCGCGTGCCGTGTCCTTGTCAAGTGAAAGGCAAAGTGACATTGAGACTGGTTTCAAATGTCAAACTTCAGTTTCGGTGTTTGTTGTGGCCTGGTTGCTTGCTCTGGTTTGGGCTCATCTGTAAAATGAATCCCAACCAGTTCAAATTTTTACAAGTGGTGGATAATAGTAGATAATCAACGGAATCTGTGGTTTATGAGCGGCGTTGCCTTTGACAGTGCTTGACCTTTCTCCTGTGTAGTCAAGGTTGAATTTGGCAGACACTCTGGAAAAGTTAGCTTTTCAGTGACTCAAGTACATTTACCACAAATTTGACATTAAAATAAAAAAACTTTTTTTCCTGTCACTTTAAATTTAAAAAATGCTGGGGTTGCCCTGCAGTGCCTCCTGATGTGACAGCCCTTGGTGAGTCTGGAACCCAGTGCTGTCACTGTAACCTGCTTTCCATTTAATGTAGCTGAAACGTTTTTTTGCCAGGAAGCTGTAGCTGGCTGCTAGGTAACAGTATTGCCTGTTATTCTGAAGGGAGCTGATACTCTAACAGTGATGCTGCAGCTCCCAGGAGGTGTGGGAAACCCCCCGATGCATGTAGACATCCTGCATCTTTTCTTGTGCCAGTCCCAAAGGAACTTTTTCCATTAAAATCAGCTGTTGGGCAGCCGTGCTCCAGCATGTGACTGAGGCTGGCTGCCTTGGAGCTCTTACTAGGCCAGCGCTGATAAATAGCTCAGCAATTGGTATCTGCCCTTAAGAGAAATGCAGAGCATGCTTCACGCATAGATGGACTTTTTGCACGGGGAAGAGAGTAGATTTAGATCCATCGCACGGTATTTAGGGTTTTTGGCCATATTTGGCAGTTACCATATGCGGACCTACAGCTTGTCGTGGCTTCCCACTGGAATCAGCAGAGTTGCATTGCTGAGTTTGTCTTTGCATTAATTTTCATGGCAACTTGGTAACAAACAGTTATAACTCCGCTAAGGCTCAAGCAGCAAGGACAGCTTCATACTAGGATGTCTAGTATCAAGAAGACAAGTTTAAATAGAAAAGCTGCCCTCCCCCTGTAAAGCTATTTTCACGTTCCTTATTGCTTTTCTGCTATTAATGTGTGCCACTAAACCAAAACCACTGTATTCTGCAAGCATTAACGCTCAGGATGGTTTCTGATGCAATCTAACTTGATGCTTTTTCTTCATCAGTAGTTCTTAAGCCTGAACATAGCAGTTTTCCCCTTGTTTCTGCCATTACTGTCACATCTTTGCTCTCCCTTTCTCACCAAATCTTCAACCAAGGGAGGGAGTTTCAGCACCAGTGTTTTCCTGCCCTCAAATCCCCTTGCTCTCATTGCAAATCTGAGGTTCCTTAAGTTTTGTGTGTGCTTGTGTGAGCCTCATAAATCCTGTACCAACTTTATACTTGCCTAACTTTGCCCCTTGGCAGAACTACCTGGGCTGAACCTCCCTGAAGCTTTACCAGCTTTGTTTTTTTCAGCATTAGTTTAATGAAGAGGTCAAGTGGCTTGAGTGAAAGTGAATGCTGGGTGCAAGTAATACTTGTAGAGAAAAGTAAATGTCAGGCGTATGGCTTGGGGTTAGCCTGCATCGGTGGTCATCAGTGACCACGCTGTACCAGATAATGGATTTAAAACCCTTCCGTGCCCGTCTTTTCCAGAATCAATATATGGAAAGCATGCCTGTGTGGGATGGGCTATGGGTGTGGTGTTCCAGTGAAAGAGCTACTCCCAGCCACTTGGCATGAGTGCTTGCTTGGGCATTCATTTTCTTAGGTCAAACAAAAGTTGACTGGGGCTCAAGAGGCAGCCTGTTTATAGCAGATACAACAATGCCATGCGCTTCTTTTGTTTTCTGTATGCTGTATGGTCTGAAGGGTGAAAATGCAAGTGTCTTCTAGTCTGTCCTTAGCCTTTCACTGTAAGAAAAAGAAAAGACGAAGATATCTGCATGTTATTTCCAACCCTCCTGTAGCTGTTCAAGGCTTGATAAGGCTTGTTAAGGATGTGCTTGAAGCCTTGGGTCTTTGTCTCTTTGACTTCTGGCCGGTACCTACCGGTTCAATTTGCATGTTTCTTCCCATCCTGAGCTTGGGGAAGAATAAGGAACTCAAATCCCTGGTGTTTCCTTTGGGATCACTCCAAGAAAAGGAAATAGCTTTACTGTTACTGTTAATCTCTGGAGCTCTGTGATTCAGGCCTGTGTTTGCTTCTTGCTGCTGCTTGCACCTTTCTGTGTGTTCACTGCTGGTGTCTTTATTGTCCAGACCCTCAGAAAGCTACAGAATAACAAGATCAAAATACTGAAGTATCTTCCTGACCTGGTAGACGTTTCTGTACCTGTTCACATCTGAAACCACGCCTCTGTGACTTCCAAGGGTGTCAGTGTTTTTCAAAGCTGAAAAACAAAACTCTTCAGAAACTGACACCTTCGTTTCTTTCTAGTTAGGGTATGAGTAGTTCTTGGTGCAGAGGGAGTAACACATGACTTGAAAATGAACTTTAGAAAACATTTCACTTATTTAACAAAACAAGCTTGGACAGTTAAGTGCTGAGCTCTTTCACACTGGCAATCTTTTCCTGTTGTTGGGATCTGTCTTTTCTTGCTTATTCCTGCCTTATCGGGCTCCCGATCTCTATACTATTTTTTAATGGATTTTCCAAAGTGTGTGACTCATTAGAGAAACGTTACAGCAACCAAGCGTGCATCTCGTGACAGCATCACTTCTGCAGTGTCTGCTGGGCAGGAGTTTGGGTGTAGCCTGTGTGACTTGACGACTCTTCCAAACTATTTCTGTCCCGCAGTAGTAGGAAAAAACTCTTTGGCAGCGGGGTGCTGTTTGTCCACCGCGAGTTAAAATTTGGCAGCTGTTCTATCTGCTGCAAATCTTGAGTTTTTTGGGGAGGAGAAGGGGGAAATGGAGGGCAGCAACTCTAAACTGAAAGGAATGGCATCGTATTTGAAAATTGAGTTTGTCATCTGCCTGCCTGGGAGGTATGTAAACCTCTAGGGTGGTGAAGCCCCCGGAATATTTTTAGTCCTGCTGTGAAAAACTGCAAAATGTAAAAGGATTTGTAGATGAAATGTCAGTGTTGTCCCAGCAACTACAGAGGAGGAAGGGATTCTTCCTCTGGTGCCTGAAGGTCATGTAAGACTACGTTAAGTGGTTTATTTGGTGTCATACCTGTTAAAGAGATTGCTGCTTGAACTTTGCATGCTAAAGGAGGCAAGTGGCCGGCTTGTTTCAGAGTGCTGTCTTACCTCCTCTCTTGGGAGAACTCAAGGCATTTTAGAGGGAATAATCAGTGATTTGGAAAAAAAAAAAAAACAAAACCAAAAACAAGTTGTATGTGTCATAATAGTCCAAACCATTTTTTTTAACGTGAGGAAAAATATTGTCATTTGTAGAGAAACCAGAGGTTATTGAGAAACATCCCCACTAACAGCCTCACTGATTCACTTGTCAGGGCAGCTAACCCAAATGTCAGCAGGGCTGTTCTGGAGTAGCATTTAACATAACCTCTTAGAAATGTAGCAGCTTGCTCTCTGAGAATGAAACTAAAATCTGATTGTTCCAACAGATTATGTACCCCTGTTTCTGGATGGGCCTGGGACACAGCGTATTCTCATCACAATTTACAGCTGAACTCTTAATTTAGGTGTAA